ACTTTTACCTTGCCCAATCCTCATTCCACTTTTACCTTGCCCAATCCCTCAAGTATTATGGCACACAAATTGAAATAAGATCAATATAGTTAGAACCAGAGATATTTTGCACATTACAGTAGGCAGCCAATTAGCCCATCACATCTGTTACAGCAATCCAAATAGTTTGCTAATCCCCTGCTCCCTTCCCATAACCTAACATCTTACTCTGCATTTATACAAATTTAATTTCACAGCGAAAGTATTCTATACTCCAACAATCCTTTCAAAATTTCTTCTAAATTTTCACCGCACAGTTGTAATTTCCTCGAGCTCCACAACTCTCATCCATCAGCAACTAGAAACTTTTGCCTCCTCCAAACCTTTTAAAGAACAATACAGCACAGGAACAGGCCCTTTGGCCCTCCAAGCCTGCGCTGACACCTTTTGCCCTTCCATATTAAAAGACTGTTTTCACTTATAGGATATATACGCCTCTATTCCCCTCGTATTCATGTATTCATTCAGGTGTTTCTTGAATGCTGCTATGGTGTCTGCTTCCACCATCTCCTCTGGCAGCGTGTTCCAGGCACTTGCCACCCTTGGTGTGAAAAACTTGCCTCACACATCTCTTTTAAGATTCCCCCCGACTTTGAGCCGTTGTCCCAAGTAATTGACCCCTCTACCCTGGGAAAAACCCTCATACTTTCCATTCTATTCATTCCATTCAGTCTTTTAAACTTCTATCAGATCGCCTCTAAATCTGCTGTGTTCCAGTGAAAACAAACCCAGTCTATCCAACCTTTATTCATAGCTAAAATCCCACATACCAGGCAAGATCCTGGTAAACCTTTTCTGTATCCTCTCAAAAGCATCCACATCCTTTTGATAGTGTGGCGATCACAACTATACACAATATTCCAAGCGTGGCCTAACTAAAATTCTATAAAGCTGTAGGATAACTTAGCTATCCTTATCCTCAATGCCCTTTCCAATGAAGGCAAGAGTGCCATAGGCCTTTTTTAATACCTTATTTACCTGTGCTGCGACCTTCAATGATCTGTGAACCTGCACACCTAGATCTCTCTGCCTATCAATACTCCTAAGAGTTCTGCCATTCACTGTATAATTTCCACTTGCACTTGACCTTCCAAAATGCATCACCCCACACTTGTCTGGATTAAACCCCATCTGCCATTTTTCTGCCCATGCCTCCAACTGATCAATATCCTGTTGTATCCGCTGACAATCCTTCTCCATTAATCTTTGTATCGTCAGCAAACTTGCTAATTAGACAAACTACGTTTTCACAAATCATTTATGTAGATCACAAACAGCAGAGGTCCCACCATTGATCCCTGTGGAACACCACTAGTCACAGTCCTCCATTCCTAACAACATCCTTCCACTACTACCCTCTGTCTATGATTAAGCCAGTTCTATATGCATCCTGCCAGCTCATCCATGATACCACATGACTTCACCTTTCATACCAGTCTACCCAGAGGGACCCTGTCAAAGGCTTTACTGAAGTCCACGTAGACAACATCAACCACTTTTCCCTCAATCATCTTTGTCACCTCCTCAAAAAATTTAGGTTCATGTCTTTGTCTGCCAACTTTGACCTCAACCTTGGTGGCCATGCCTTCAGCTGTTTATACTCCACATCGAAAATTCTTGTGTGAACTTTTTGCATAGTCAGCAAGATCTCCTTTAAGGCTCTGCTGCAAACCTACTTTTTTTGAGTTCATCCATCTGTTTGCCTTTGAGTCTGCTTTCTTTGTACTTCTGTGAAGAACCTTGGGACTCCTTACTATGTTAAATGTACATTGTTGGGCGTAATGTTTATTGTTGATTGCACTGACACAATATCCAAAATACAGGCCTATTTTCTTACAGAAAATAAAGTCCAAACCACATCAATACTTCAAAAACTTTGGAAACAGTCAGATCAAACAGTGTCTGTGGACAGAAACAGTTAACATTTAGACCTGAAATATTACCTGCTTCACTCCACAAAGCCATCTGGTGGCTTCTGTGCAAGTGTGTTGGCAGGTGCAGGGACAAACAACTGAACGTACATGATTCACGAAGCTTGCGCAGGCATTGTCAATCGGGCAGTCCGGTGTTGATAGACACTGCCTTTCAATATTCTAAAAACACTTTGCTTTTAAAGAGTGCCAGTGATGACTCTCAGTGGCAATGCCCTGGAAATGAAGCTCCACTATTGCCAGTCATCACAAATATGAAAAACAAAGCCATCCAAAGTCTCCAAGTTACCTGACTAACAAATGCAGACTGAAAGAAAACACTCACTAGATTTCTGTACCCAACAAGAAAATAACTTTATTGCAAGCAAATTCCTTTATGCCATTGGCTTAAGACAAATAAGAATTGCTTACCTCCAACTAATATGGAGAGAATAGAATTCCTTAAAGATCAACAAGGTTGTCTATTTTTGGAACCACAGGAGATGGGAAGAGATGCTAAATGAATATTTTGCTTCAGTATTCATTGTGAAGAAAGACGTGGAATCTAGGGAACTCGGTGGGGGGTGGGGGGGGGGGGATAAATATTGATGTCTTGAGAACACTCCATATTACTGAACAGCACATGCTGGAGGTCTTAAAGCATAAAAAGGTAGATAAATCTTCAGGACCTGATCAAGTGTATCCTAGGACATCATGGGGCGCCTTGCAAAGATACTTGTATCATCTATTGCCATGGGGGAGGTGCCAGAAGACTTGATAATGGCTAATGTTGTGCTTTTATTTAAGAAAGGCTTCTCTTTGTAGTCTGGGAACTATAAACCAGTGAGTCTGACATCAGTGGTGGGCAAGTTGTTGGAAGGGATTCTGACAGACAGGATTTGCATAAATTTGGAGAGGTAAGGACTGATTAGGGATAGTCAGCATGGCTTTGTGTGGAAAATCGTGTCTCTCAAACTTGACTTGAGTTTTTTGAGAATGTGACCAAGAAACTAGATGAGGACAGAATGGTAGATGTTGTCTACATGGACTTTACTTGGGCTTTGACAAGGTTCCACATGGTAGACTAATTAGTAATGTTAGATCATATTGGAAGCAAGGAGAGGCGGCCAATTAGATACAAAATTGGCTTGACTATACGAGTCAGAGGTTGTGGTGGAAGATTGTTGTTCAGACTGGAGGCTTTTGACCAGAAGTATCCTGCTGGGATAGGTGCTGGTTCCATTATTGTTTGCCATTTACATAAACTGACTTGGATGAGAACAAAGGAAGCATGGTTAATAAATTTGCAGACGACACCAAAATTAGTGTTATAGTAGACAGTGAGGAAGGTTATCTAAGGTTAGAGGAGCAGATGGGCCACAGAGTGGGAGATAAAGTTTAATTTCTACAGTTAACGGTAGGCCCTGGGCAGTGTTGTAGAACAAAAGAGACCTAAGGGTTCAGGTGCACAGTTCTTTGAAAGTTGCATCAAAGGTAGGTAGGGTGGTAAAGAAAGCATTTGGCACATTTGCCTTCATTGCTGAGACCACTGAATATCAGAGTTGGGACATCATGCTGAGGTTGTACAGGCTATTGGTGAGGCCAGTTTTGAAATGCAATGTACAATTCTCATCACCCTGTCATAGGGAGGTTATTATTAAATTGGAAAGTGTAGAAAAGGATTTAGAAGGATGTTACTGGGACTGGAGGGTTTAAGGTGTAAGGAGAGGCCGGATAAGCTGGGACTTTTCCTACTGGAGTGTAGGAGGTTGAGGGGCAACCTTGCAGAGATTTATAAATTCATGAGGGATACAGATAAGGTGAACAGCAAAGTTCTCTTTTCCCCTCGGGTTAGGGAGTTCAAAACTAGCAGGCATAACTTTCAAGTGAGGAGAAGAGAGATTTAAAAAGGGACATGAGGGGAAACTTTTTCACACAGAAGTTGGTTAGTGTGTGGAATGAACTGGCAGGGGAAGTGGTAGATGCAGGTACAATTACATCTAAAAGACAGGTACATGAACAGGCCAAGTTGAGAAAGATATGGGCCAAATGCAGACAAATGGGACTAGTTCAGTTTGGGAAACTTGGGTGGCAAGAACGAGTTGAAACGAAGAGTCTGTTTCGATGCTGTATTACTCTATGATGGGCAAACGAACCTGAGTACTGCCAGCATTGGCTGGTTTTCTTTCAGATTCCTAGCACCTATTGTATTTTGCTTTTGTACAAAAAGGCTTATTTTCAGTTAGTCTTACCAGATTTTTTTCCTCTGGCTGAAATACTTAGTTAAGTACTTCCTTCAAGGGGCAGTGGGTTAACCGTTTAGATGGAAACTTTGATGCGCAAAATTTAAAGACAGCTGCACTTACAGTGAACAGTAACTGACTTGTGATGAATGCACAAATTTCCTCAAGTTGCAGTTTTCTATCCTAATTTTATGGAAATTCACTTAAACATACACCCCCAACTCAATGCATTACTTGATATCTACATCAGCTGATATGACATTCAGCATGTTTCTTCAGGTCCCTAATGATCATCCTAAACTTCTGCTTGTATCTAACTGATACGGCCAACATCTCATAAGTTGGGCACTTAGCA